TTTGTGGTTTGTTCTTAATAATAATAATAGCTGAAATATATCAGGACGTTAGGCACATAACACACGTTACCTCACATGACCTCACAAGCGTCCCAAGGGATGAGTCCCATTATTGTCCTCATTTTGCACAAGGGGACACTGGAGGCTCAAAGAGGCTGGCTCATTGGCCAGTTACCAAAGCGAGGCAGGGGGATGAGCTCCAGGTCGACGTGATTCCAAAGTCCCTTCTCTCTGCTTTGAGTCTGATTAAGCAAGATTAAAATGAACGAAAGGCTGAAGTATGGAAAGCAGTCTCCCAGTGAAGTACTGTTGGATTTCTCTACAGAGAGCGTGTTCATCTGGATGTGTTAACATACGATAGTATGCTATATTTCAAGGTATAACCTCGAAGTTTTTAAAAAGCCCTTTTAGGTAGATAAAGAGAACTGATTTGAATTAAACATAATTCTGTTGTCTTTAAGGGTATTTACAAGGGCTTTTGTCTCTTTAATAGGTTACATATTCTGTACCAGGGCTCTCTCCAGCTGACCAGACTTAGTAATGAATTCTCCTTTTTTGTTTAAAGGACCAGAGTTGACTTTATATAAAGCTTGTCTTTGCCCCATCTGCTTCTCCACAGGAAATCATGCTCTCCACCCCTCTTCTCCTTGCATACCATGCAGTGTCCTTCCTGCCCATTCTCACGGAGGTGTGAGACGATTAACAACGGGGTGGCTGATGGGACTTAAAAGGGACCCTCTCGGGAGCAGGAGCACTGGAGAACAGACACCTGGCAAATGTCCTTAACACTCCAAGGAACTGGCAGTGAAGCTGATATTTCAGAGACAAACAAAGGCACAACCCCATCCTGAATAATCTGTGGCTTGGCCCAATTTCTTCACTCAGATCTTTCATGACACAATTTTGCATCTCGTTTTGGATGGCTGTGTTAGATTTCTCATCTCTCCTCACATACTCTAGATTCCAGTTACACCGAACTTGTTGCTGTTCCCTGAAATCACAACATGACTTCCAGCCAGGTGCTTTTGCTGCCCCCTCTGCCTGGACCGGCTTTCTCCCTTCACTTCTTGTTCCTTCCTCAGGTCCCTGGGAAATGGTAGACCCAGTAGATTCTGGCAAAAATTTACCGTCTGCTTGTGAGGAATGGGATAGAGGTCCAAAGTATTTGCAGTGATTCCATAATATATTTATTATTAATTTCCAAATTATGTGAGTCTCCCAGGCAATGTGGGATTTTTTTCCCCCAAATTGGAGGAGAAAGTGAATTTAGACCCACATCATGGAACCCTGTATCTTCTAGATGAGGCACCGAGCATCAGAGACAGAGGTCTGCCCCACACCACATGAGCTTCTGTGCTGCAGACTCAAACTCACTTCCGCCTTGCTGCCTTTACCTGCACCTCTCTGCCTCAGTTTCCCATCATGTCAAGGCCTAATGCCTGGTAACCACTGCACTCTGCCCTCTGCCCTCTCACTACACACACATGCTCAGATAACACGATGTCCCCTCCTCAGTCATGTTTTTAGAAATGAATGCTCATCTTCTTAGAAACTCTCCATCCAGACAGTCTCATCTTGCCAATGGGGCTGTAGACCCTGGGCCAGCCCCTCTAACCCTGGAATCCATGTTGCCATACTCGATTTCATTTGTGCTGCCTCTATATTGAGCTTTATTGGTTCATTTTAAACAAGGAAGCAAGAGGGAAAACACAAAATACCATGATTTGGGGTTTATAGTATTTCTGAAAGCCTTGCACTTGAGGTAGTGTTCTTTTTTTCTCATTATACAACGCAGCTGTTGTGGGTGTGTATGATATAAATCAAAAAGGTATGAAAAAACTTGGTGAGGGGGAGGTTTAAGGCAGAATCTGCTCCCACCTTCATGCCTGCTGAGACTGGATACACAGAGGACAACAGCCAGACCACAGATTAAAGGAGAACTCTCACTCACGAGCTGCAGCAAGCAGCCCAGGAAGCCAAACAGTAACCACTGCTCCCATCAGCCCCAAGTGGCCAGGACTTGATTAGTAACTGACAGCATCTCTAATTTTTGCCCCACTTCAACTGAGGATCAGCTAGAAAAAGCCAAATATCCCAGAATGGTTCCATGGATTTTGTGGAACACAGAGTTGCCATTTGACTTGATGGGAAGTTGATGGATGTCTCTGAGTTCCAGGGCCCCCCACAGTACAGTCTGGGGACTGGTGCTGGTCCAGAAATGGTCACCACGCTGTAGTGAGATGAATACTGAGAGTGTTCAGAAACTTTTAGAGCAATTATCTTATATTTTTTCTAATTATAGTTCTTGAAATCTAATTTTGTGTCTGTTGAATCTAATAATAAAAGGTCAGGGTTTATCATTTATATGTCATCTTTTGTTTCTTTTTTTTTTTTCAGTAATTCATTCCTATTGTAAAAATATTATAAAAATATTGGCCTGCAATGGATTAAAAAAATAGAAATAAGAACTGATCTTTCACTACAGAGAATTTGAGAATCACTGCTTAATACTGCTCTATTCCCCTTCAGCAATGAATGGTGGCAAAGACAGTGAGCCACCCTAGGCTATCAATGGATGCAATAAACATTCCTGCAGTAAATAAATAAAAGAAACGTGAATTGAGTGAGAGAATGCATCGTTACGTGTTCAATACACATGAGATCAGTGTGATCCGGAGAGGTTAAGATTCCTCTTCCAACTTTCCCACTGGGAACTCTGAGCCCTTCATGCTTGCTACAGATTGTTCTGCTGTAAGAGCTGTGCTCCTAAGAGCTAGAAAGTTAGTCACTATAAAATATAAACAAAAAGCAATTTGGCCAGCATGCAGTGTCAGTAAATTGTAGTAAATTACTTACTAAACAAGTAAGATTTGAATTTTGTGTCCAGAAACAAAACAGTAACAGGAATACAGAGAAATCAAAGGTATTAGAATTTTGTTGGCATGTTAGGTCATTTGTAATTCAAAACAACTGCTTGAAAGGGTAGCAGCTAGTTCTCATATACTGGAATCTACCAGGGCCACTCCCTGTGGATCTCGGGAACATTTCCCCAGGATACATCCTATTCAAAGGACTGATCTGGCAAGTAAATATGTACAGAAACAGACTTGGAAAGTCCCATTCGTGCACCTGCCAAAGTGCACAGTACTTTTACCAATCTCGTGTCCAATTTCAGAATTTCTTCCTTGTTTTTCTTGTAGTCAACAAAACATTGACAAGAATAAAAATGACAATTAACACTATTGTGAGAAATATTCTGCTGAAAATCAACAGTATCCAAGTAACCCACTCAACATCAGTACAACCGACTCTTATTCCCGTGCCTCTCTGCTATCTCAGGTCTACAGCTGTTTCAATCACAAAGAAAACAGCATTTATGGCCTGAACCCAATGGTTCCAAAGTTTTATCCACCATGGCACATATGACTGATAGTACTTACTTAGGAGACACACTTCCTTGGGTGATTTGAAGTTATTCACATTCCAGAGGTGGCAGCCATAACTCAAGAGAGTGAAATGGGATGCACTCGATGATGGAAGTTATGAGAGGATAACTGTAAATCCACTAGTTTTTAGTAAGTCATCTGCAAACTCTTGGTACATTACTAGTAACAAACTTTGGCACAGCTGACAAATGAGTACAACTCACCAGCATGTGACAATTCTGGGGTTGAAAGTCACTTTCACATACCTTATCTAGATTCACAGTGACACATTACATCAGGGCTTGGGGAGTGATCATGGCACCAGAGCGATGGAGCCATGGTCATCCAAACATTCATTTCATAAATACGTATTCGGGTTCTATTGAGTATTGGGCTATGAATAAGCCAATAGGAAGGCAGAAGTTGACTAAACCTAGGAACTCTGTCTTCAAGAAGCTTACAGCTGGGGGAGAGCCAGCTAAGGCAGCCATCAATATATGTCAGTGAAGAAGTCATAATGGATGGTGATGAAGGATGCAGAAGTCTTTGTAGACCAGAATCTCAGCTGTGATATTTGGTACTCGGAAGCAGAATGTAATTGAAAAGTCTGGCCATTCCACACGGTATGGTCTTCTTAGTTTCACTTTAATTATATATACGCCATCTGTTCCTAAAGGACAGAGAATCTAATTAAGATGTTTTAAGGCTATCTGGGATTTGTTTTAACCAAGTATGATAAGATATGCAGATGTGGAAATTTATACTCACAGTTGCCTAGAAGCAAGAGGCACACCACACAGGGCCACCTGGGGAAGCACCAGGACCAGCCAAGAGACAGAGGGAGGGAAGGGAAATATGGGTAAGAGCCCCCATCATGGTTTCCACAGGGAGGAACAAGCAAGGCAGGGTAAGCAGGTTTAGAATTGGCTATTTCGAATAATTTCAGTGGGCTTTGGGGCATAGAGGCAGTCCCATTGTCTGGCACATAGACCTAGGGTGATTAAGGTAGGTGTATGGTGGCCAGGAATGTGAGATCCCAATAAAGAAGGTGGTTGGAGATATGAACTCTGGATTGGTTGGTTTGCATATGAAAGATGTGCTCACAGACAAGTCATTTGCTACCTCTAGGAATTGGCTAGCCCTGGGAGGGGAGTGCCTCCAGGGTCAGCAAGGCCACAGATGTCAAAGCGTCAAAAATAAAGAAAACAAAAAGGCATGATTAATATAGAAGTCAGATGTCCCTCCACGTGGTGCAGCTGTCACACCTCTGCTGGCAGAGCCTGCCTGAATCACAGAGTCAGAAAACTCCCAAAAGCCTTTTATCATCTTGGAGGATGCAAATGTACACAGTGTCACGAAAATCTGATCCCATCAAATATTTTAATGCTCTAAATATGAGATATGAGAACATATTAATTCAACTAAGTTTAGTAGGGACTATAGAGTAAACTTGAAACTCTAAAGCTTGCAACCATTGATTTTGAAAATTTTGAGGAGATTCAGGAAGAATCTTCATTTCCTTGAAATAGATTTCACAAAACCTTAGTCATGACTCATGTTCATTCTCTGTTAACAGAGCTGCACCCTCTGCCTTATGAAGGGCCACACGGACCCTCCACTCTACAACAAACTTGATGTATATTCTGGCCTTTAATCTTCACAATCCCTCAGGAGGTAGGAATCATTATGTTTATTTTACGCATGAGGAAATTGAGGGTAAAAGGGTTAAATAACATACCCAAGGTGACGCACCAACAGTCTGTGGAACCAGGATCAGTCCCAAGCTGTCTGACTCTAAACTGCGTGCTTCCTGGCCTCCTGCCACTGTCCTGATCTCGTACAGCTACGAACAAGCTGAGGTGATTTCTCCCAAGCCTTTCTCCAGTGGCTCCTTGTGATGCCTCATGGCTGTAATGGAAGAGGAAAACTAGAATCTGTCCCACTGGGAATATGAGTCAGCTCAGCCATGCATAGGACTCCCCTGTGTTTTCTGAGCTAGTTTCATGCGGGATCATTGAGAATTCGTCACTGGCTGACGGTAAATGAGCATCTACTTAGCACGTTGCAGACAGTAGACTCTAAGTATAACATGCTCATCTTCATAGTAATGCTGGAAGGCAGACAGCATCCGGTCTAATATGTGAGGATTCCCCTCTTCTCAGGTCGCACTCTCTAGCTACAATCCAGGATTGCTCCTTGACATTTCAGCCTCACTCCTATTTGAGGAACGACATGAATATTTACTAAGTTGTTTACATGCACCAGGAGCTTTATGTACAGCATCTTCTTAATGCCTCCATCAGCTCTATGACAATTGCCCAGATAAGAGTGGCTAAGAATCTTGTCTAGGGTCACACAACTCCTAAGGGTCAGATATGGATTCTAACCCAGAAGGTCAGATTAGAAAGCCACATTTTTTTCACGGACAAGATCATTAGCTTTGGCAGAAGGCAAACCTGGTTGCTTGAAGTTTTATGGCCCTACAACTTGTCCTCCTCAAGTTTCAGCATCCACCTGCCCTGTGACAGGCTGCTGGAGACACCCTGGCTGGCTCTTCTGGCACTACTTGAGTGAGACAATAGCTCACCTCTCCTCAGTAACCCAGAAGAAGCTCCATTTCCCACCAGCATGCTTGCTTCACACCTAGGTAAGAGAGGATCACATCAACTTCTAGACAAGGAGGGTCCTGGTGTCACCGATGTTTACATTGGAAACAGTGTCAAGAAACCCTGGGTGGGGACAAGGGAGAGAAGAGTGGCCAAGGTGTAGGGGGAGATAAATGAATAAGCCAAGAATGTTGTGTTCCCTCAAAAGTTTACTCTTGAAATAGTAGTTCAATACAGAAGTAAAGAAAACATGATTCTATGTTAATAAAAATGGCTGACCTCATCACTAGGCAGAACATTTAAATCCTGCGTAGCTTCTCTCCCCAAGCTGGCATGTCCTATTCACCATTTTATATTGTCGTGGCCTGGTCCCTGAGAAAGCAACTGCTTATGAGGTAGAACTTGATTAGGGAAGGCCAGCTCAGGAGGCAGAAGCAAGGCAGGCTGTGGGGAGGACGGACAGGAGATGCATTCCCAAACTGGCCACAACTTGGTATCAAGGGCAGCTGCTCGCTCAGGCTCCAGACCATCTTCAGAGTGGCTCTAGGGACCACCAGGTCTCAGGAGAGTCCATCCAGGGAGAAGAAGAGAGAAGGATTTGCCTGCCAACTCCCATGCCCATTGGTCAAAGATTCTCCTAATGGGAGTTATCCCAGACACACTCCTCCTGTCTTCACGGTGTGGCAGCAGTCCTAGTTCCTGCAGCCAGCTTGCTGAATTACTCCACAGGGACAGTACACTCTTGCTTTCCTTGTAAGTCCACTAGAACCCAAAGTGGCCAGATGGTGGTTGCCCTTTCCAATTCCATGAACTCCTCACTGTGTCCTGTCGCCTTGCGGGAGCATTTCCACACTTGGAATCAGGGTCTCTAACCCAGCAGAGCTTGAGTTCACATGGACAGGAAGCATAAACCCCAAAAAGCGGTTCCTGGAAGAGGTGGCGAAGGGGTCAATTCTCCCTCCAGCGCTTACTTTCCAGGTGCCTTCCAGCCATTGCAGAAGTAGCCCCCTACGTTGTTCATCGATCGGCACACATATCAATCTTGTGGAAAAGCAGCCCATTCCGACCAGGCCTTGGCCCTTGGCTGAAGTTTTCACAGGGCCTCCCACTGCTGTACCAGGCAGTTGCTTCTGGGTGGAGGGTACATAGTAAGGTCAGTGGATTCTTATTGTTGCACTTATGGCTATTAATGGGGTTTTTGGTGTATTTTTTTTCTCAGAGCTGCCTAACAATGTAAACTGAATGGCTCAAAACAACAGAAATTTATTCCCTCACAGTCTGGAGGCTAAAAGCTAGAAATCCAGGTGTAACAGAGTTGGTTCCATCTGGAGGGTTTGAGGGAGCGTCTATTCCATCCTCTCTCCCAGCTTCCGGTGGCTGCCCCTCTGTGGTGCTCCTTGGCATGTGGACACCTCACTGCAGTCTCTGCCATTGTCCTCACATGGTGTTCTCCCCTGTGTGCGTGTCTATGCATCTTCTCCTCCTCTTAATGGGATAGCTGTCCTATTGGATTAAAGCCCACCCTACTCCAGTATGACCTCATCCTAACTTGATTACATCTGCAAAGACCCTATTTCCAAATAAGGTCACATTCAGATAGTGGGGTTAGACCTTTAACATATCTTTCAGGGGGATGCGGTTCACCCCACAACACTCGCTACAGGATATCACATCACACAATGTCTGGTACTCTGTGGTCTTCAGTTGGTGGTGGACAAACTCACATCCACAGGTGTGAGGTTCCTGGGAAGACAAATTGATTATCCCTCCAGGGTAGATGGTGTCCTTGCCATCGACCTTTCACACGTGACGACCTGATCTCCCCCGGAAGGTGCCACTGTGGGCCCAGCATCAGTTACTGCTGCTGACAGGGCCTGACCTTTGGCTGTAGCTGGCTGAGCCTTATGAGACAGCTCGTGCTTTCGAGCTCATGCAGAGCTGCTAACCCTGCTCTCGTGGCTGCCCCGTTCATGGGGAGCCACACTGCAGCAAGGGTGTGGCCAAGGAGAGAGACTGGCTGACATCCCAGTCTGAGCCATGCTTGCAGCTGCTGTTGAGCACCTCCTCTGAGGTACATGATCTCTGGTGGGCGTCAGTATGGGGCATAAAAATATGCACTCACCACATAACCCCTGCCCAGCTTTCCTTGTCCCCAGTGTTCCGGTTTTGTCCCTTCCCAGACCCTGTCCAATTAACTAATACATTTGCCAAGGCCCAGGTGTCCATGTACATCTGTGCCCCAGGCCTCTTATCTCGCCATATGAAGGGAATAGCCAAGTTTTACGACAGCTCTGCCCACGGGAGGATTTTCCTTCTTCACTATCTTTGGTCCACCCTGGGTGGGGCTGCAGTGCAGCAGTAGTCTATTTTCATCTACCAGCACCATATGGTACCAACCCACCCACAAACTGAGCCAGCTTAGGATGACGCCACAGGGAGGAAGTTGGGGGAGAAATGTCTGGCTCCATGCTCCTGCCTCCTCTGATCTCAGGCAGGTGTGAACCAAATTGTAACCCTGGTGGCAAGACAGTGTACTGATGTGGCCCAGACTCTGCAGCCTCCTGGAGCACAGAGCAGAGGGGAGAAGGGAGGCAAGTGGTTCTGGAGGGGCAAATGGAAGAAATCCAGCACAGAGAGTAAACATTCGTACTCCCCCGAAAACTGACAGTTCCTGAAGAGAGTGTCCAATTCTGGGTCCACACACAATGCCTCGTTGTCTTCTCCCAGAAGCTGAGGAGTCCAAACACACAAGACCACTAGTCAGCTGGTCACGCCTCCCCAGAGCCTCTCACGGGAGGACCCAAGGTGACATGTATCAGGGCTCTGACAGGGATTGCTGGCAGCTGGTGGAGGAGGAAGGTGGACCTCTGTCACTATCATCTCAAGACTGAGCCCCCACTCCTCGATCACCCCCACCAAACAACCCTTCTCACACACATTTACTGGCCAAACTGGGGGCATAGAGACATAAAGGACTTTGTCCTGAATGCTAAGTGAAATTGACTCGGTACTCTTTGAAAGTTTGAAAGAACAAATCACACCAGCCCCCCCAAAAAACCTGCACTCTAGAACTCCAAGCCCTTTTCTGTCTCCCTAACAGGAGAGTGACAAAGCAGGTTTGCAGGACCTTATAGTTGGGGAGCAGTTGGCACAGAAAGATTTGGGAAAGCAACTAAACCATCCTGGGTGCTGGTGGGGGCAGCTGTCTATCTATGTCCTTTCTCCTCAGCAGTCGGGGAGGATCTGTCTCATCAGCTCTCCCTTGGCTGGGGCCATCCTGGGTATTGGTCCTTCCTGGGTTGAACCTGACAGCCTAAGGCTCAGAAGGAACTGTTAGTTCCAGGGTACGGCAGATTATATTTTCCAAAGAGGGCTGTGACAACATTTGTCATCCCACATGCTTTCCTCAAATGTGACCTGGGCATTCCCTTTCATTGAAAGCGGGAAGTGACAGGTGTGACCTTCAAGGATTGGTTGGCAAATTCCACGCAGCTCACTTGAAAGTTCACTCTCCGGAGTGCCCCTCTCTGGCATCCCCCTCAGAGCTGGGCTGCCATGCTCAGAGAAGCCTGGGCCATGGGAGGGGCCACGGGTGAGTGCACGGGTCCCCCAGGAGCCATCCTTCAGCTATCCTAGTTCAGGCAGCAGAAGGGTGATTGAGGGAACCATCTGGGAAGGGAACTCCAGCCCAGCTATTTGGGTCATCCCTGTCATTCCAGTCTTCCCAGCTGAGACCCTGATCATCGAGAAGCAGAGGAGAGCCTGCCCCCACACCCCACCATGCCCTTTCTGAATTCCTGACCCATGAATTCCTGAGCACAATAAGGTAATTATTTTATGCTACTAAGTTTGGGGTGGTTCATTATGGAGCAATAGTGACTTGAGCCAAGGTCACTTCTCACTACAAGTCAAGTCTTTTAGAAACCCCTGCCTATTGTTTCTGATCTCTTGAGGGTGATTGTATGCTGCCAAAATGAATTCAGGGTATGAAGTGCTTCAACTGAGAACTCATCCTGCCTTCAAAAGACCCCTGTGGCAGCAGCCAGGTGTGAGTGGATGACATGAATGACCCACTGGAGAGGAAACTGGCATTCTGGGGTGTAGGGTCACCAGGAAGGAGGAAAGTCCTTCCTCCACCCTGGAGAAAAGATGTGGCTGACCTACCACAGGGTTTGTGGGAGTCCATGGACTGTGTCTCTGTGCACCTCGCTTTGTCAGCATCACTGGAGATAATGCAGTTGGCAAGGAAGAGACATGGGAGCTGAGTTATAATCCAGACAGGCACAGCCATGGGTCTGTCGGGTCTCCAAGGCTGACTAGTACCAGCTCCAGTCCAATCCTAGCAAGAATTGTACAATTGGAATTCATTTTTTGGCCACATAAGCAGATCTGGGCTATCGAGCAAGAGAGAAGGGTTTCTAAAAGACCTAATGTATTGGAGGGAGGGACCTCAAGTCATTGCTTGTGAGGGGCATTTGCATTTGTGGCCCTACAAACCTGCCTGTGTGGGTCTCTGTCGCATCAGTGGGAACAACAGGGGGCCTTCGTGCAGAGCATCATGCTGGGGAAGGAGCGTGCATCTGACCTGTCTCCTATCTATCCAGGAAGTATATTGTGCCGTGACGCAGCCTGACACAGAAAAAGATGCTTAAATATAAGTAGAAGCCCAACATTTTAAGAGGACATCCCAGCTCTAGACACCAAGACCAAACCTGCAGAGACTCACCTAGAAAGCACCTGCCTTTCGAGGGACCTCGCCCTCCGCTGGCTGCGCAGGGAGTGACTGTCCCTGATTTGAACTGCTCCCGTATCCACCCCAGGCCTCTGCAGGAGACTGTTCTGGAGCCTGCCTGACTTCGTCCTCTCAGAGAACACTCACCCAACAGCAAGGTACAGCTCAGTTTCCTTTTCCACAGGACCTTTGAACGGAGGGATAGGGAACCTGGGCTCAGTCCCTGATACTTGAGGGAGCTGGGAACTCCTTGTCATTTGGGCTGCGAGCTGTCACGAGGAAGGAGAGCGCTGCTCTGCAGAGTGAAGCCAGAGGGATCCTCCTGGACTGTGGACAAAGACCATAAGCGGAGCAGAAAGAAAAGACTAAACAGCCCTGAGGACGGCCTGGGAGCTAGAGACACTGCTGCTCTTAGCTCTCCAAAGGTGTCCACTCGCGGTCCCTGCCGTGGGAAAGCCTCCACCCAGCCTTCATCAGACCCTGTGTCACCTTATCAGGTACTGTTTCTTGTGACCCATAATTATCTCCCTCAGACACCCACGTATTCAGAATACTCAGGAACTACTGTGTTTACTGACGTCTCTTAAGAAACGTTCCAACCTTATTTGGTTGGTAGAACCACAGACACGGGGTGAATCACAGGGTGGGGGTGTCTGCCACAGGACACAGGGCGCCCTGTCATGGACAGAGTGACCACAATCTTAGAGAAATGTCTAGGGTTGGGCTATCAGGAGTCCTTCCTAAATCACCACTCGAATGTTTGATTAAGGTCAGTAAATGTCAGTAACAGGGTGCCCTCCGCAGCAGTCGTTCCTGTCTGGGATCTGCCATTAGCCACAGTTATCTTTCACTTTTACCTGCTGTGTGCTGGGCATTGTGCTTCGAGCTCTGTCATCTGTCAACCCTTCAAGTCCTCACAGTGTCCTTATGATGTAGGTACCCCATGAGATACCCAGAGACTGCAGTTCTAATACTTGTCTAAAATAAGTGACATATCTGCCCAGAGCCCATGTTTGTTCTTCTGGGCCATGCAGCCTCCATCCAGATGGGGAACACGCTCCTGGGGCCAGGCTGGGGCACAAGCACCCACGAGCGCCCTCTCCCTCCCCACATAAGGAGTCAGGCCTCCTGCACCGTGACAGGAAGAAAGATGTGCCCTGCCTGCACCTAACACTGGACTTGGCAAAGGTCCCAGCCCCACAGATGCCCTTCCTTCCTCTCCATGCTCTCCCTCCAGGGCCCACATGGAGCTGAAACTCGCCCTGGGACTGGCCCAGTTCCTTCTTCACTGTTTCCATCCCTCCAGCCCTCTTTTCTCTTCTCATTTATTTAGCAACTGCTATATACCCACAACTTTTCCTTGAGTATACAATGGTGAATGGTCTGTTTAAAATCTTGAGGGAAACTGAGAAGGAACAGACAAATGGAGCTCAGTGCAGACATAAGAGCAGGACGGTGTGGTGCAGCATCCTTGGTGCCAGTGATAAAGAGGAGGGAGTCGGGGCCTTTGGGCTGATCTAGAACAGCCCCCACCCCCACCCCAACCATGTATTAGTGCAGAATCACCTAGCACAGGGGGTGAGGTGGGGGAAGAAGGGAGGTGCTGGTGAAATAAACTCAAGTCCCTTGGCCTTACCCACACCCTCTGCTTTAGTATCTCTGCAATAAGACCACGGGAAGATGTAGCAGCCTTTCTAACCTGGAAGGACTTGCCGTATGGCAGAAGGACTGGACTGGAGATGCAACTGAACCTGGACCAGCAGGCAGAAGGAGAAACTGTTCTTCAGCTCAGGGAGGAAGACACAAACTCAGGCTCAGCAGCCACTGTATCAGTCTGTATCAGTTACTGTAATTAGGCCCTCCTCAAATATGCAAGAAGCAGGGGAAGGGAAGTTTTGGAAGGGGGGGGGATCACTGACCAGCCTGCCTTAGGCACTGGTGTGGGCAACAAGTTGGAGCTTGTAGAGAAACCTAAGAAGCCAAGCACATGTCCAGCCCACAAGGTGGGACCACTAGGAGGGCTTGTGGAAAAGTTTTGAGGAGCTGATGTCTCTGGTCGCCGCTGCTTCCTTGAGTCTACACAAGATTCTACTGGTGAGCCTGGGCCACCCCTTGCCAGCAGGGCCAGCAGGCAGGAAGGAGAGCTGAGGGAAGAGCTTAGAGAGCAAAGACACAGGGCATTTCTGCATCTGCCAGATACCACGACCAAGCGCAGTGACCTTCTCAGAGAAATGGCTGCTGCTTCATGCCTGTCTTTCACATCTCTCACAAGCTCCTCTTTCTGGCCAAGTCTAACCCAATACTGGCCAGGAAAGGTGATTCTGGGAAACAGTGTCCCAGTGTACAAGGGCACAATCCAGCACAGCCATTAGCAGGCTGGCAGAGGGGCCCTGGTGGTCTAGTGGTTAAGATCAGCGCTCTCACTGCTACAACCCGGGTTCATTTCTCAGCCAGGGAACCACACACTTCCTCCCCGCCCCCCCAGGCCCTGTCTGTTCACTGTCACACTCTGGCAGCTGTGTGTGGCTGTGATGCTGAAAGCTACGCCACAAGTATTTCAAATACCATCTGGGTCACCCATGGTGGACAGTTTTCAGTGGGGCTGCCAGACTCAGACAGACTAGGAAGAAGGACCTGGCCACCCACTTCCGAAAAAATTGGCCATGAAAATACTATGAATAGCCATGGAGCATTGTCTGATAGAGTGCCAAAAGGTGAGAGAATGGAGCAAAAAGACCACGCAGGGTTCCGCTCTGCTGTCCACAGGGGCACTAGAGTGGGAAGCTACTCGACAGCGCTAACAACAAAGAGGGACTCAAGTGTTAGCGGAAGAACTGGATTTGGAAGACAGGATCTGAACGCTGAATCTCTGACTCCAGCGATGAGTCACGTTCCTGCTGGGAAGACTCTGTCCTGCCACAAGGGCCTCGGGGGTGAAAGTTAAGTGGGCCACCTGCAGGAAACTTTTGAAGTTCACTCTCTTTAATCTTTGTTCACACACACATGTGCTTGCACACACACACACACACACACTTGTAGTATCTTTCTCATCCCCCTAATCTTGGATCTCTGCCACCTTACTCTCCTGACCTACTATGCCTGACTTCTTTGTTCTCCTGTCTTAAGACTTCAACAATTCTGTCAAGAATCTTCTGTCCCTACTTGCCACCTGGATAACTTCTAGTTCCCTCCAACCCCCAGCTTACATGTTAGCTCTTCTGTGGGGCGTTCCCTAGCAAGTGGTCAGTCCCTTCCCACCACTGATACTCTTTAGATACACGTCCGTTACGTCACAAGGCGCTGACACAATTACTTTCTTCATTCAGCACTCACCCTCTGGAGGAGAGATTTCACTTTATCCATCTTCACACATTTAGCAGACAGGACAGCAATGAGTGTGTTGTTCAGGAAACACAGATGAACGGACGTTTCAGGTGATGCCACCTCCAGAGTCTGGTCCAGTTTAATTGCATAATTTCAGTGTCAGTCAATCATTCGGAGTTGTAGAGACGTGACGTTGGAGGAGGCAGTGGGGGAGATGTTCAGGGGCCAGAAAACTTTTCTTTGCCCTTGTAACCAGACTTTTCCTATTTCAACTACTCTTTGGTCGGGGAGTTGAGGGTAGAGGCAGATAGACCCACACATGTGGACCAGGAAGAGGGAAACTCATGATTAAAATCTGCTTCTGTTTGCTCCCCGTCCCCCACGTCGAAGGGAAGCCTCCCGCTTGGTTTTCCATAAGAAGCATCTGTGTTTGTTCACCAGACAACTCCCACTCAGTGACGGACACGCAAGAGTTGGCAGGAAAACTCCACCATGAAACTTCTGAGCTCCACAGGAAAGTGCCTCCTCTCAGAACACACAATCTAGGTTAGAGCTTGAAAGAGGCAAAGCCAGGTTTCAGGAGTAAGCTCTGGTTAAAACAGAATGGAAAAGGGAATGGATACTTTTTAGCTTGCAATGGACAAGACCCTGAGATTCTTAGAACTGTTATGTAAGTTGATCTTTAGAATAAACTTATGATAACCCACACTTGAGCAAACCAAGGCCTGGAGAGGTTAAATAACTTTGCTTGGGTCTGTTAGGGAGGACCTGGCTCCTCTGATATGCTATTTTCCATTCCTTCTTTGGAGAGTTACAGACAAAAAGTTATAGTTGCATGGTGTAAGATGGCCAACAGTGAGCTTTTCCTTGTTAGAGAATTGGACTTAGCTTGCTTAACAGAACAAGAATATTTTTGAGGGGCTGGCCCAGTGGCATAGCGGTTAAGTTAGCACACTCCACTTCAGCAGCTCGGGGTTCGCTGGTTCAGATCCTGGGTGTGGACCTACACATCGCTCATCAAGCCATGCTGTGGCGACATCCCACACCGAAGAACTAGAGGGACTTACAACTAGGATATACAACTATGTACTGAGGCTTTGGGGAGAAAAAGAAAACACAGAAACATTGGCAACAGATGTTAGCTCGGGGCCAATCTTCCTTAGCAAAAAGCATTTTTTAAAAAACAGAGAGAAAATACTCTGAATTTCCAAAAAGAAAGAATTTTTTTGAAATGATTTTTAGGGTCAAATTCTTACATGACATCTTCTTGGATTTTGCTGTCTTTCAGATCTCAGGAGTGTTTAATGTATGTCGGGAAGGTGTTCATGAAGTAAAATGACCAGAGGAAGTTCTGGAATCCCTGAGAAGAATTTTACAGCGTTAGCTTTTTCACTTGTTCTTTAGCTTTTTCTTCCATGCCATATTTTCTCAACTTTGGGTTGAAATGTAATAAGTTGTGTTACACATGTAAATTTTTGACGTGTTGTTCACACCAGTATTGAACAGACAGTTGTTTCGCATGTACAGTGAACCGTACTTTTCATAAGAACACAATTGTGGGAGAGGGACCACCTTCAACCTAGAGTCCCCTAAAGCCAAGTTCCCAGGGGATTGCCTCACCCCATAAGCTCTTCTGTTCATCTTATTTATGTTCATTGACATTATGTAATATTCCATTATACTTGTTGGTATAAAGATGATAATCCATGGTTCCAGCCTCTGAGGGGCTCATGGGGACAGACATGGCCTGCAATGGGCCAACTTAGTAGAGGTACAAGTGTCAATGGAGCACAGAACAGGGAGGAAGTACATCTGTCCCCACAGAATGTCAGCCGGGCATTGAAGGGTGAGCAGGAGTTGGCAGGAAAACTAAAATAACAGAGTTAGTCAAGGCTGGAGAAAGAGGTGCAGGACCCTTGGGTCAGAGACGGCCCTGAAGGCCATGGAACTAGATGAGTCACCTGGGCAGACTATGTGGACAGAGAAGAGCAGCAGGCCCAGGATGATCTCTGGGCCACTGCAATAGTCACAGGCCACACAGGAGAAGAAGGGCCACCCAAAGACGCTGGAAGGAGAGGCACAACACTATGGAGGCCATGGGAGAAATCTTTCCAGGAAGGAGGGTGCACTCCCCGAAGCTGCTGAGGGTCAGGTAAGGTAAGAACTGAGATGGGGCCATGCGGATGTGGCAGCATGGAGGTCATTGGTGAAGAGGGAAAGGCCGTTCTGCAATATGTTTAGGAGAAATGTAAGATTAGGAGGTAGACACAACACGCATAGACACTTCTTTCCAGAAGAGTTGCCAAAAAGAAGAGGAGGGTGTAGAGGGAAGTGTGGGGATGAAAAAGGAATTGTTTAAGAGTTGTGAATGATCTAGTAGAGAGGGAGACATTGATGCTTCATGTAAAAGAGAGAAAAATAGGAGAAGGCGAATCCTAGAGAATCTGAGAGTGGATGGGGTGAGCAAACAGGTAGAGGGATGGCGCTTTGAAAAGGTTAGAAGCACGCCATATACAGCAACAGAAGGGCAAGAGAGTGAGCCAAGGAGCAGGCAAGGTGGTGGAGTTACAGGGCAAGCAAACTCTCTGCTTCTATTTCCCCACAGAAGTATGAGGCAGGGTCAACAGGCGAGAGTGGGAGGTCAGGGAGACGAGATTTATGAAGCTGGAGGAGAGTGGAAAATATGGGGAGAACATTTCTGGCAAGGTGCTGGTGGCTTGGTGTGTGATTATTCATTTAAAGTGAGATCAATCTTCATGGCAGTGTTTTTCCACATTTCCAAATAGCCACCCAGATGTGATGCCACCAAAGCAACTTATTCCTGCAAGTACAAAGAAGGGAGGGGCGAGTGAACCCGAGGCACTTGCAATGACAGAGCTGGAATCCTGGACTGTGGAGTCCAAGGTTGATCAGAGAAATGAGAGTATTCATTCAAATCATTCCACAGAAATTTATTAAGCATCTCCCATGAGCTAGGGATTCTTCTAGGTTCTGGCATACAGTGATGAATTCTATGCCCTCACAGAGTTTCTAATGAGGGTAAAATAATTAAATAAATAGTACAGTGTCAGCAGGTAAGAAACACAAGAAGAAAAATAAGCCAGGGTAGGGAGTTAGGGGAGCCAGGGTGGATTCCCGTTTATATAGGATGTCAGGGAAGACCTCTCGGATACAGTGATGTTGGATCAGTGGACTGAAAGAAATGAGGGAATGTGGATGTGAATGTCAGTTGAGGGGCAGTTAGCAATTAGTGGAGGGGGTAGGGAGGGAAGAGGAGAAAGTGAGCAATGGTTAAAAAGTGGTAGTGGCAATAGATGGGATGTCTTGATGAGATTCAAATATTGCACAAAACAGGGTGAGTTCTAAGGATAAAGAGTGGCAGCCCCACATTGGCATCTCAAAGAATTCAGAGTTCTTGGAAGTGATGATGTCAAGCTATTGACTATGGGAATGGGTGGTCAAGACAAAATAAAATAAATAAATATTAACTATTTAAATTAATAAATAGTTTTTTCAATTTATAAAAAATAAGCATTATTGGAGGTGAGAAAGTCAAAGCCAAGGGTGCTGAATGGATTCTCCACATGGATGCTGAAATTGCCGAGGACTGGGATGGGATAGGGGAGGGAAGGAAGAAAGGCAGTGAGCAGGTCCTACAGTCACTAGGAGTGAGGAAGAAAGATGGTGGAGGACAAGAAGGAGGGGTGAGGTGTGAGGAGCTCAGGCTTCAAAGGAGCTGGAAATTTGGAAGGGAGGGAGAATGGATGAGAAACAGTTAAGTGGGAGCAAGGAGGACACAGAAATATGTTGGGTATGAAGAAAGAAAGGGCCTTGCTTATGTGGACTTCAGGGAAAGCAAAGGCATTAAGGGGCAGCCAAGCTTCAGTTAAGACAGAAAGGTGAAGGATGTGTGCAGAGAGGAGCTTGAAGACAGAGGACAGACTGCTGTTGTTGTTAGACCTGGACTTCCTAGGGGCACAGTGGGAGGCCCAGGTCCCTCAAGACAAGGACACATGTGGCAGTGAGGATTGAGGGATGTTGGATGCTGAGGGTGGCTTGTGTTTCTGGAGATGGCCAGGGAAGCAGGGATGGGGGACATTATAGGATTTGTCCTGATCATCTCTTCACGGAAGGAGATAAAAACGTTGATTCTGGATGGTATGGGGCTACTGGTGGCTGTCTTCTCCTGCAGCTGCCTGTGCCAATGTGCCTAAGGCCTTCCCTTCACTACGGGCTGCTCTCTCAAACAATGGGATGCCTGTGGTGCTGCCAGGCTCTGCTGTCTAATGGCACAGGGGCACAACTGCACAGTGGAGTGGTCCTGCAGGAGCACACACCCAAGGAGGGAGGTCCTACAGGAAAGGTTTTCAAAATGACGTCTTGCCTGGGCTTTGGCCCCAAGCATCAGAAGGCATTAGCCAGGCATCAAGTGTTGCAGGCAAAGGGAAGAACATGTGTAAAGACATAAACTCCTGAAATGCCAAGGGCTGCAACAATCCACAATCAATTTGATGTCATCAGAGCAGACGTTGAGAGGTGAGTCCAGGGTGCTGAGGGGGGCAGCAGTCACCTAATAAGATAAGGTTCAGAGAGCCCCTAACATAGAGTCAGGAACAAGGTAAGCACGTCACACACCTGGTTTCTCTCCTCCTATTTTCCTCATTGTAGTGTCATTTCAGGTCTGAGACTAAGAAGGGACACTGTTCGTCCTTGCCCTACGCCTGATGGATGCCTGGTGAGGATCAAAGCAGACAGCATATGTTGTTATGGACTGACCATTTGTGTCCCCTCAAAGTTCACATGTTGAAGCCCTAATCTCCAGTGTGATGGTGTTTGGAGGTGGAGCCTTTGGGAGGTGATTAGGGTTAGATGAGGTCCTTCATGAGGATGGGGTCCTCATGATGAGATTAGTGCCCTTATAAGAAGAGACGCCAGAGGGCTTTCTTCCTCTCTCTCCGCCATGTGAGGACACAGTGAGAAGGCTGTCATTGGCAAAGCAGGAAGAGGGCCCTCCCAGACACTGAATCTGCCGATGCCGTCATCTTGGGTTTCCAGCCTCCAGAACTGTGAGAAGTAGATGTTTGCTGTTTAAGCCACTCAGTCTGCGGTATTTTGCTATAGCAGCCTGAACTGAGACATGTATGAATGCACTTTGCAAACTATAAAATGTTATGCATGTGCTTGTTATTCACAGCTGGGTGTTTGCTCATTTCTAGCTTGTAAGTAGTGTGTTATAAACATTCCTGTGCAAATAGATTTTGGGTTACTTCTGAGGTCTGTTCCCTACAGTGAGATCACCAGGACAGAGATGGGCCTGGATGAGAGCTGAATGTTGTGATTCAGATGAGCTTTCCCTAGAGACTTGATACCACACATGCATTTGGACAAGTATAAGCAATATTTACAATCCTCACAGACGAGTCTATAAGAGCTGGGCCTTCCTAGCAATGCACTTTGAACAAATTACTTAATTTTTCAAAGCCCCAGTCGCTTCATCGGGAAAATGGAACGAAATCGCTACTTCTTGGCATTGGTGTTAAGAGGAGCTCTTAAATGAGATACGTTGCAAAGTTCTTAGGTTGTTATTTGGCCCGTAACAAGACTACCATAACTATTTGTTGAGGTTTTAGATTGAACTCTATTAAATCACCATTTTTTTAGGTCTAATATCATGAAACATTGAGTCCAAATAGCTCAGTTTGTTATTAACTTCCTAATATTCATCATTGCTACTCTCACCCACAATCCATCTTTCCCTCTCTGGCTAATTGTGCCCTTGGAGCTACATGAAGACTTTCCAAGGGTCCTTGGACAATCAAATGAACAGAGTCAATTTCCAAATCCTGAAGGCCCATCTGAACTCTTCCTTACCACTGTTCTTCCTGAGAATGGCCCTGGAGTCAACACCTTTTTCCCAAATCCTTTCCCTCTCTCCTCACTCAAAGAGCCATTCTCCCACCTTAAAAAGGAGAAGTAAGTGGCCCCCAGGTGCCAAATCCTCCAGATCACCATCTAAGGGGCAATTCAGAAATCTGATGGAAGAAATCCTGCTTTGATCAGGACAGAAAAATCTCCAAATCCACCTAAATGAGGGTTATCTTTGCCATAACAGTTTATCTTTATATTTAATACCTATTGATCAATATTTGAAATATATGTTGACTTGATCAACTGTGTACTAATAATAACTGTAAGGACAGCTCAATCCAGAAAATTTTTTTCAGCACTTACAGTTATCAAAATTTTTTAAAATTAAATTTTAGTTATAAACACTCTGAATGTGAAGAGATTGCAATATTTGTTTGTTTTCTTTGTAACAGATAGTGGTGGGTATCGAATCATTTGTTATCCCCTTGTTACATTTTAAAGAGTGACGAAACGATTTTAATTTAAAATGTCAACATTTGCACATCAAAATAAATTACATCCTTTGCAACTGTTTAAACTTTCGCGAAAAATTTTAGATGTCAGTTTAAAAATGCATGAGGGAGGGGCCGGCCCCGTGGCCTAGTGGTTAAATTCTGCACACTCTGCTTCAGTGGCTCGGGTTCAGTTCCCTGGTGTGGACGTACACCACTTGGTGGTGGCCATGCTGTGGCACCAATCCACATACAAAATAGAGGAGGATTGGCACAGATGTTAGCTCAGGGCAAATCTTCCTCAGCCAAAAATAAATAAATAAATAAATAAAATAAAAATGCACGAAGGAGATATATAGTTTCTTGGAATTCATTCTGAAGGTAAATAAACATGAAGATCGATGTCCTGGGGAAGCTGAGAGAGGGTAGGGGCAGAGGAGGCAATGCTGTCCTTTCGCATCTATGGTGTCTCCTGGCGCAGCCCACTGCAGGTTCTGGGGAAGGAGCCTAGGGAAACTCCAGCAGTGGGATGATTGTTGCCTGTCTCCCACACTGGGGTGGGGATGCTGTGAGAAGCAGGACTCTGTATGGGCAGAGGAGATAGACTTCTGGAGTTTTCTGCTGAGCAGCAGACAGACCAACAGGGAGCTTGGTCCTCCTTCCAACAAGCACTAACAACTCATTTCCCTCCCCATTTTCACATCCTCCCTGACACCACAGCATAGAGAGATCAGCTCTCAAGGGCTCATCCTGTTTCTCAGGTTCCGCAAAACGTTCAGTGATCCCACACCTTAAGAATGAAACATACACCCCTTTATTGAAATTCAAGGTTATTGCAGGCTGCTCATCTCCCATCTATCAAACTGACTCACCACTCTCTCCAGTCCCATTGGCTTCCTCAGCTTCTGAGCATTCTCCTGTCACCCCTGACAGCTGGAATGCCCTCCCTGGTGCCCACATGTTCTTAGCAAAACCCTTCAGGGCCCGATTCAAACATCCTCTTTTCCGCGAAGTTGTCTTGATCCCTGGTGAACTGGAGTTCAGAGGCAGGATACAGAGTCTTAAAAGTGCCAGACTGAAGCAGCTGGGAAAGGTGGGACTGCTGCTGAGTGACAGGACAGGAGATGGACGCAGCACCCAAGAGGCTGTCTGTGTCGGCATGTAGGTCTTGTATAAGCTCTCCTAAGATAAGGGAAGAGTCACTCTGGGTGAGGGAGGGGAGGGCATTGTTGTCCACAGCCTCCTTTCCTCCTCAAAATCTCGAGACTCTCATTTTTACCAAACAGCAAGGGCTTCCAAATCTTTCCCAACATCCAGCAAACCTGTCTTGAGAACACAATAGTAACTGCTTGAGACTCACAAAAATGAATATGGTACCACCTTTGTCTTCAAGGAGTTCACAGAATAGTAAAGGAAATAAATAACTAGACACAGTCTACTGTGGTGAGGGCACTGAGAGAGTGAAACAGGGTGCTGCTGGGAGCGAAGCAGGGGACAGGTAATTCCAATTCACTTTCTTCTCTGCTTTGGTGACTTCCAGGTGGAAGTAACAGATGCAATGCAGTGACTGTATTTGAACTTGGGTGCAGCGTGGACTCCATGCCACCTGCCATTATCAGAATGCAGGAGCTGTGTGTCCTGTCCATCATTTTGATGCTTGTTGACAGCCAGATGGTGACATACACCCAGGAAAGGAAATGGATGGGATGGAGAAGCAGATAGCAACACCATCCAGGGATGCATTGCTGGGATTTCTCTGTAACCAAAAACACGTAAAATTTTCATAAACTGGATGGGGAAATTGAGTACATCCTTCTTAAGTAACACAAAACTAAGTTGAAGACCATGAAGCTTAGATTTTAAAAAAGCAACAACTTGAGAGTAAATACACAAAAAAATAAATCAAGATTATGGTATCATTTCATGGTCAATTTCTTGTCTTTCTCTCAAATTTAAAGATAGTGTTTAATTTTTAAAAGTGAAATAATGAGTCTCTCTCTCATTTATCACAGCCTGTAGGGAAAGAGGGAGGAATTGGCCTGCCCTGAGCTTGACCTTGTCCACTCACAGAGCTGCTTCTCCAGCCCACTTAATAACCCGCACCCATCACACCCCTTGGACCTTGCCTGGCCTCAACTGCCCCACCTTCGAAACCTGAGCCCATCACATTTCCACAGATGGTACAAGTGCAGCTTCTCCCAATTCCTTTAATATCTTCCTCTTACTATGCTCCTTGTCTCACCTCTGAGAATCTTCCGGTCCTTTAAATCCATTCCTTTCCCCCATATTCTCAGTCCCCTCTGGCTTTGCTTCTCCCTGTCTTGTCTGTTTCCCATTTGTTGGTGTCTTGACCTGTTCTCTCTCCAGAATCCTGAACTCCCTCAAACCCGCACCCAAGCCCTACACCTTCTGGTGCGTGTCCACAACTGGGCGTGGTACCATTCGCGCCTTCGTCTGTGTCCACTCCCATTCCCAGGCAGCCAAGTGTGACGTGAGCACATCTCACAGACTAGACTCTTGCGGGTTCTTGGCCCCTCCCTGGGGTGGACCTACAGTCATAGGCAGGGTCCCAGTCCTTCTACCTGTTGAGGGTCAGCTCCCTCTCACGTTTTCCACAGCTGCAACTACAGGACTTTGCCATATTCTTCAAACCTACCATACCTCTACCTTCCTCATTCCCAGTTGAGGACTTTCCCTCCTACTTAACAAGACAATATAGGCCAGCACAGGCCAACCCTTGGCTCCTGCTCCCACAGACAAACCTGAGCCTGCTCCCTCTCCTCTCCTCTTTATCCTTTCAGAAAAACAGGTTTGCTTCCCCCTGTTTAATGGACCCACCACCCCTGCCTTCCCAGGGACTCTTTCTCTCTCACTTCCCTTTTCCTTTCTTTTTTTCAATCTTTGTACTTTCCTTCTTCCTGCTTACTGTCTTCTCTTTTTCTGACTAGAAACATCTGAAGTCTCCCCCATTCTTTAAACAACAAACGAAACAATCCTTTGGCTCCAATTTCCCCGTCTGTCACTTGCCCTATATCTCTTCTCTTCCCACTCAGCACCCAGAAGGATCCGGATCTTGGAACATTTTCACATCCCACTGTTCCAAAGCCCACTGCCCACTGGCTCAAGGTCCCCCTGCAGCTCTCGAACTGCTCTGTCAGGAGTCCTCGGGTCTCCACACTGCCCACCCACCACAGCTCAGGACTCCTCCTACTCCAATCTTCACACAGGGTTTTCATCAACAGTTTGCTCCACCCTCCTCGCTACAGCACAGGATGTCCATCTTATCCACCATCCTATTGGGGGACCACTCACAGTGTCTCAAAAACGTAGGTCCTAAAATATCTGTTGAATGAACACAGGAATAAGTGTGTATGCGCCATGGCCTCTTTCTTGGAATTTTTCCTCCCTTGGTTTCCTAATATTATTCCCATTGGGATTTCCTGTGTTCATTTCTTCTCAGGCTCCTTTAGCAGTCCTC